GTGGCAACACGAAACCTTTCCATTTTCCTGAGTAACTCGCACCTTCGTACTTCGATTTTTTTCTCTACTTTTCTTCACGTATTGGTATTATTTTCTGATGTAAGTGCACTTCCCTATTCTGTACCTTCGATTTCTTTTCCTATCCTTTGCTTACTTCACGTGACTGCCACAGCAGGGACTGCTAGGGCAGGAAACGTGGGTATTAACTGGTTGGCCAGGGTGCGATACGGGTGTTCAGTTTTAGATCCATCAATAACTGAGCACTTCATCAATTCCTGGCTCAACAATCCACTCAAGCTGAAACACTCACGGGATTCTCCTATCGTTTCAGTCCCATCTGAACTGAACTGGAATGAACTCAGTGTGGTGGTCGTTTGAATTATTTTTGTCGCACGGGCGTTCGCTCCATGGAACATCCGGAACTATGCGTATTCTACTGTTTTCAGTCCGCAGGCGGTACGCCGACAAAAGCACCCTCTGGACATCATCCATTGTTCCCAATGTTACTCGCATTAGCCGGGGCTCCCCGTAATAATTCGAGGTTGGATGTCTAGTGCTGCGTATTAGATTAGTCGGACAGGCTTGAACTCACACTTTATCCCAATGGAAATTCCACTGCTTTAAATCATCTAGCTGTTTACCCCTTAAGGAGTTTGCCTTGGACCCAGAAACATTGGTGCATATAAGTGTCAAGGCCAGTAGTTCCTCCTGGTCTTCGGTGATGTGGGAAGCACGGTTATCGAGGACTTTAGTGACGTTTCTGCAGGTTGCACCTGGTCCTTAACATGTTTTGTGGCTGTACTAGGTGAGGCTACTGAGGTCGCACTTTGATTATACAGAGCAGCAGCGATTGAATAGGTGGATCGGTCTTTAGAGCACTTCGGATTTCGTTGGTTCATCGGAAGGGTGGGTGTTACCGATGTTGCATCCGTCGATACATTGGATAAGAGTATGTGGGTGGTGGGGCTAAGCGTGCTTCTATCGGTCGCGATGATGATTTTGTTCGTTGAATTAACTGCACCCGGCTTATCCTCTCGCTATTGGTTACATGCAACCGGAGACACTGATGCGGCAGCCTCTGGTCAAGCTTGGGTATGTATCGTACTCAGCTCCAAGGCTGAGTCAACGTTGGTTGATTGGATTCCAATGAACATCCGTTTGTGTGCATCTCGTTTGACGACATCAAGTAAGTTTGATTCACGAAGTAGTACAAAATGCTGTCTGTAATTTCCGCTTATGCTCTCACAGACTGCAGTTCTAGTGCTGCCAAGGACGCATTCACGAACTGAACGTGCTACTACGCAGTGCTACTAGTTCAGATATCATACTACTTGCGGGTGACGTGAATGTATAATTAGGTCGCCTGGGCACTTCAGAAGCTCAACGAGGTGGTACTTATGGGCTTAACTCCGAACGGACTAACAACGGCGAGCGTCTGTTGCAACTGTGTGCGGAGCACCAATTATTTCTTAGTAACACTGCTTTTATGCACAGTGGACGCCGAAGTGCCACTTGGTTTCCTCCTGTAGCTGGCCAGCGATGGACCCAAATTGATCACATTGCCATAAGTTACAGGTGGCGTGGTTCCATCCTGGATTGCCGCTCGTTCTGGAGTACTTGGGTAGAATCAGATCATGCCTTGGTACGCTGTCGCTTTTCCATGCACTTTACCGGGAGGCGCACCAAGCGTCTCCTCCGATTGGCAACTGAGAAATTGTCTCAGCCCTCCGTCAGGCAAGCCTCGCAAGCTGCACTGAGTATCCGACTTTCCCTCCCTTGTCCTAATGACACTGAGCTTCAGTAGAATAATATTTTGGTCGCCATGCACGACCAGGGGCACCTGCTTGTGTCATTATTAATTGTCATTGCACCAGTTACTGGATATCCGAGAGGTTGGTGAAGCTGTTGGAATCCCTGCTGGCCCTGAGCACAATGGGACCAAATGGACTATTGGGCACGAATTAAAACGGTCTGCATCCTGGCAAGGAAGCCTGGTGGCTTAGTAGGGCTCAAGAAATAGATGAGGCGGGAGCAGTAGGGAACAATGGCAAGCTCTTCCAACTGATCCCGCCACTGGTTCCAGAAAACCAGGCGTTAGTGCGACAATCAGAGACAGCCCGGGTGCACTGATACACAATAAGGAGCGCCGTATGGCTTGTTGGGTGAAACACTTTTAATTTCAGTCCAGTTAGCTTTCTGCTCCCCGACCTCTTTTTACTCGGGGGATGCAGGACGAGCCATGAACGGTTAGTTTAGGTGCTCCATCGGAAGCTGAGGTCTGGAACGCCATCACAGCCCTCAATCGTTTTCGTGCTACTGACTCGGACCCCCTCCAACCTGCACTATTTAATGATGAAGATGAGGTCTCCTGCAAAACGCTGATCTCGCTGTTCGAGCATGTATGAAAGGAGGAAACCGTCACGGCTAACTGGAGTGAATCGACCATAGTGACAATATACCAGAAGGGCAGTCGCACCGACTGTGCTAACCACAGAGGGATCAGCCTAACGCCCGTAGTGACAAGATTACTGGTCTCAATTCTCGTTCGTCGCCTCAGCGGAATAGGGAAGAGCGGGCAGGTTTCCGCCCAAGACGGGGATGTATAGACCAAATATTCACTTTGCGACAGATGCTACAGCATCGCCACGCAGACCGCAGGTCGATAATAGTTGTATCCCTCGATTTCAAGAGGGCGTTCGATTCAGTCGATCGATCGTCAATTATGTTTGAAATGCTTGCGCGGAAAAGTGTTCCGATGGAAGTTGTTAACAATTTACGTGCTCTGTACTCGAACACTACAGGCCGCATCAGGATCTAAGGTGACCTGACAGATAGCTTTCCGACAACATGTGGCATTCCTCAGCCTTGTCCAATTTCCCCATTTTTGTTAAATGTCCTCGTGGATGCTATCATAGAGTCTTCCCTTGCGGATTCGCAAGATGCAGACATTGAGGTGCTGCCTGGTGACAGGGTAGCTTATCTTGACTATGCGGACAATATTGTCTTGCTTTTTAACCATGTTGGTGCGGCACAAGCAAGCCTGAATAACCTGTTTAGGGTGGTTCCATTAGTTGGTATGGGCTTCGCACCTTCAAAGTTGTTGCAGGACCACCAGCAATTTGATGATCCCTTGACGCTAGATAACGAGGAACTCGAGGTAGTTGATCAATTCACTCACTTAGACAGCTGTATCAGCAAAGATGGGTGTACAGCACCTGAGGTCAGTTCACGTATTGCAGAAACTGGTACTGTTTTTTGGATCCACGACATCTTTGGCGACAGAAAGGAGTTCCCCTTCGTCTAAAAGCCTGTGCTTATAAGGCCACAGTGACGGCTGTCCTACTCTATGTGAGTGAGATTTAACCACTCTGGTCTGGAGATCTGAAGCGCCTTCAAATGTTTGTTCATCGCTGTCTGCGTAGGCTTGTTGGCCTCCGGTAGCACCAATGTGTGCGCAACAATGATGTGAGTAGGCGAATGCTAGGCAGTGGTGCTTAAGGTAGTTTCTTAGAACAACAGTTAACATTGAGTAAGTTGTGTTGGCTTGGGCACGTACTACGTATGTCTCCTCACCGCTCACAGAGGTTGGTCTTGTTTTATCTGCCAGATGTAGGGTGGGGCAAGGCTCGAGTTGGACAAAGTTGACTTGGCAGCGGGAAATGAAGTCACTGACGACCAAACTGGGTGCGGTTGGTCTGTCTCGCCTTCCAAAGTGGAGTCCACTTGGTTCGCCTTGTGCTTGGCTTGAGACTTTACAGGATATGGCTCGCAGTCCACCCCAGATTCGCGTCTGCTATCCTCTCCTAGTGGGACTGCCTGTTTAACGTGTGTTTGATGCTGAGTTATCTTCGGGGTAATGGCTGATTTTGAGGCGTGGCAGTAAAAGCCGCAGAGAAGTTGTTTCGCCGATGCCGCCTTGTCTTTACACGATAGCCAGCTGTCTGTGATGGTATGTTGTTGACATGGAGTAGGCGCCTTGAGCCTGAATATTCGCTTGGGGCATTTAGGTTTTCCGGTAAGTTTCCCTTCTCTCCCTCTTATTATTCTTCATTCCATGGGTCAACATGTTTGTATGGCAGCGAGGCTTCAGTTCAAATGGCTGATATACTACCGCTGCTGCTGCTGCTCATGACAATGATGTTTTTCCCAAATTAGCGTGGTTGTCAATTGGTCATCAAAGATCCAAGATCTCAAACGGTCGAACTGATTTTGCCAAACCGTAACAATATGCGGCTGTAATGCCACTGGAGCGGATAAGCACAAGATCGGATGTGTGTAACCAGCCTACTTATTCTATGCGCTATAAGACAGCTTTTGAGGGCATGTGTGAAGCTTGATATTCCAAATAGTGTCACCAGTCACAACAAATAATTATACCAGAGATCTAACTGTTTTCACTATCGTGGTTGAAAAAATACAGGATGGTATGTTTCGATAAGGTCGATTTTCAAGCCTCGATCTTGTAAAGCTCAGAGACAGATTTCGATGCCCAGACTGCAATGTGGTGGTGCGTAGTAAGCGAAATTTCATGCAGCTTGTTCTTACGGGAGCACCTTTCGTAAATCCGCACTTACTGCACCGCTTACGGAATGGCTGGGTATCTTGAGGTCGCAAAGAACCAGAAACTGACGGGAGGGCTGACTGGTCACCATTACCCTTTCTTTCACACATGCGTACACAGAAATAATAGTTTGCTCCCACGTCACAGAAGGAAAACAGTGGTTTCGTTCAAGGGGATGCGACTCCCGCAACTTCCAAGCAATTTGATGCAAGGTAAACTGTTCTCCATTATCTTCTTCATGTTATGGCAACTGTACACCTTTCAAAAGGGATCCCCAATCAATAGGTCCAGAGGCGTGCTCTAGGCAATACTGGAAGACAGGGCTAGCATCCATACAGAGTGATCTATCTGAAACAAGCTTGACAAAACTGCACCACTTCATGTAGTGTTGATGGTTCCCTTGCTCACAACTGGTGTTTCTGTCCACTTTATTCTACAGAACGAGGTCGAGAAGCTTTCTAAACTAAAAGAAGAACTGGAGGAAAAATTGCGAGAAAGGCAGTCTGCAGTAGACGCACTTAACAAAGGGATGGAGTCTTGTACAACTCGATTGAACAGCACTTTGCAAAACCTAGCTCACATCGAGACAGAGCTCTTAGAGACGAAGCAGAAGCTGGAATTGGCCGATACCAGCGCAAAGAAGTACAAAGAAGAGGTACGCATTTTGACCTGGGCAGCGATTCCGGCGATACTTCCGCCATATGTTTACCTGTTCGAAGAGTTGGGGGGTTTATCAGATTTAGTCAACATGTGATTGTCAGTACAAAGGTCTATAACAAGGCCTTTCTTCCCATAAGTACAAATGACGTTTGGTCTCTGGCAGTGCGGCATTCCAGTCAAGGTTGCGTTGTTGTTGTTGTTCTTTGACCAATGGGCAATTTGCCTGCATAGTATAACCATTTTTATGATAAGAACTTTTATGATAAGAAGTACCTTATTCTGAGTTAGCTTCTGAATTCACAGACTGTATCGGTTTGACGTAACTAACACAGCTTCATCCTCCAGTTAACGTGTCCCTTGACATGTAATCCCTTGTCTTTGAGTGTCGATACACACACAGTATAGCGAATAGCTGTTGTTATTGTAAATATGCTCTTGTTCCACGGTAGCGGTTGCCTCCTAAATTTAACCTGCCTGCTCGATTTATCCTTTCACCGCCTTCATTCAAAGGACTACTCGACTTAGCTTCAAGTGGCAAATTTAATTAGCAATTTGGGAAACAGACCTAGTGCACCTGATAAATCAGTAAAAAGACAAGCCAGTGATCCAGTACCAGGTAGACGGTATGCACCTCTTTACAAATGCAACCATAGTGTATTCAGTAAGGTGGAGGACGATTCGAAATATTCTACGGAAATGCATTAGTTGTCTGAGGGCCGTGATACTCTCTTTTGATTTCACCATTCTTCATAGAACAATATTGCCAGCCATATTATTACAATAGGGTAGATGAAAGCCTACTTCAACCACTTTTACTCAGATCCACAGATGGGTTCTTTTAAAGCCGTCAGGACAATAGGAATTCTTTTCATTACTATCCTACCGAGTGATAGGAGCTGTGGGACAGAAAGCTTGATAATAGACTACGAAGCGAATGGCATGTGTACATACGGTGTTCCATTGTATACCGAGTCGCTACCGTGATATAGTGTTCTGCCTCTAAAATCAGTAAAAATTTGGGGAATTCCACTGATTCACAAAACCCCTGTTGAGCAAGGTAAAATTCGGAACGTGAAAGTGGCTTGTCGTACCGAGCTGATGCACATTCACTGATTGTTTTTCACCCTTCAGCTTGCTTGACTGGGGGATAATGGCGGAATTCAGTAAAGCAGATCCATCATCTTCCTATAGGGGGTTAAATCTTGGGCATACCGGGAACGTCAATACGGAATCGTCGTGGGTACGCGAACGTAGCAACACCAAGTTACAGCACAGTACTGAATGATCAGCTGAATATTTGAGGTTGGTTGCCCCAGAAACACAGCATTCCACGACCGGGTTCGGTCTTATTTGATCTCATCAGTCAGGCACCGAACCCGGGGCCATTGGGACGTTAGACGAAAGCTTTAACTCTTTAGCCACCGAGTCATCACAGGAAACACTTATCACAACGATTGTTGACTGATTTTGGGATCAGTTTGAAGCATTCGTTGTGTGAGTGGATTGCGACAAGCAATTTAAATGTGCATCGATGCCTTCTATCTCTGCCTGATGAGAAAGAATAAATCCGAAATCAGTCGTGGGTGCAGTGTTTTCGGGTGAGTAACATCCAATAGTCAAGTGCCTTATCATTTAGGGTGCTAGTGCTCGAAATGAACAAGGACCACCCGTTAACTCCATGCCCGGTTTCGTTTACAGAGCCGTGTCGCTCGAAATTTCATCCTAACCGTCTCCGCACAATCAGAGATCATTCTGGCGGGATAAAGTAGTAATTTTTGTTAAACTAACTATTAAGCCCTTACCCCCTCCATTACAAATCGTCACCGATTGTGATTTAACATATAAACAGTCGTCCTAGTAGCTATGATGCTCTGCGGTTACAGCAGTGGAATACTGCCACCGGTTCTCTTGTTGGATCTACTAACAGAACAATGGTACACGAAGAGTAGAAGGCGCACACCATCAGTCCTGCGAACTTGTTGTCAAGATTTGACGGTGGACGAACTTTGTAGACTACCAACAGCGGAGCAGTTTGTTCAGACTTCATTTCGCTGCGACTGTAGTTCTCTGCTTGGCCACCTTCTCACCAACGCTGTGTGCCTCAGTGATAAATAGGAAAAACATATCATGAATTTGGCTACTAAAGGACTTATTCGGTAATATCCTCAAGCATGATTAAGTTAGTTCTGTGCTGGGTACTTTTACTCTGTTCCGGTCATCACAAGACAGCCTCGTGTATGTGGCCGCGTAGTCGACTAACTGATTTTCAAACAGCGCCTAATTTTGTCCAACTAGAATCAACAATACGCCATAATTGTGGAAAGCCTGGAAGCACGGCTTGTGGAGCGCAACACCTCACATCAAGATCCTAAGTCAACCACCGCAGTATACGACCATGGGAACCCAGTTGACCGTGCTCACACAACGAAATTGATAGGCGAGCTGCAGACAGTGAAGAATCAGCTTGCGGAATCCAAGAAGAGTGCTGCGTTATTAAAGGCGAGTTCACATTATTTTTTGAGGCATGTCAGGTAATGCAATCACACCCATGCAAGTCACACCCATTCTTGAATGTGAGCCAATTGACAAACAAATAGCAAACTTACTGCTAATTCCTTGATATGCAGAGTATATCCAATGGTTCTACACAACTTTCTTTGCAGAAGCTATGCTTTCAGTTGATCCTAAAGCATCCTTATATACTCGCCTCCAGGCTCAGGAACCAGAGACTAGGTTTTATTACCCCAGTTGTTCTCATATCAACCCTGCGAACCCTTCGCCGTATACCTGAACCGAAAAACTAACGTTTTGATCTACGCAGTTTACTTGGTGAATGTCCAGTTGAGGACATGTGAAAGAAGACTGAAGATGAGACGTCCACTTTTACTTCTTTTTCTGTTATTTTTATAACCCCGCAATATACTGTAATAGCGCTCCAACAGTAGGTCATAGCAGCAGAACTGGTGGTGTCGCAGACGACAAAATAAGGATTTCCATTGCTAGTCCCAATGTTCCTCGAATGCGTCCTGTCCTTAAGACAATTCACTATACAGTCTCGAGATAGGCATAATCAAAAAACGGGTTGGATACTCCCATGTTGGTGTTGATCGATAGTTCAAACTTCTTCCTTGAACATAGGTTATAGTTGAGGCACTCCGAGATGCGCAAATAACCAGTTTGCAGAATAATTTAACGTACCTAAAACCGAGAATTCGGTCGATAAAGGGTCCATCACTGGCAATAATTTGTGTACAGGGTTAGTACAAGAATATCTATCAGTGCAAGGCAATTCCCCTTGGTTTTTATAGGCAAAGTAGCTGAGCACAAAAGTGAAGTCTTGGACCCGATTCTGCACCTTAGGGCTCACTCAAGGTGTTTACGCGAGTACCTCATTTGAGCTCGCCCGATTCTTACGCAGTCTGTCTGCTCCTAGTCGATGGCACTTACTGACTGCTACTTCTATCAGTGCATTCGCATCCTCCACTTATATGGGATCAATGGTTCACATGTACTGGGAGCTCCTGCGTCCTGGTGCTCCCTAATTATGATCAATGATCTGTAAGCCGTTTTTGACTGGTTGGTACGCGGCGCAGAACCGAACTGCGCTTAGCCAAGAGCCTCTTCAAAAATTACATCAAACGATATTCTGTGGGATACATTCACTTAAGCAAAGACAGCTTCGGGACATTGTTTAGGGTACTGAATGGACAGCAGGAACTACCGGTTTGAAATCACTAACCTGTACCGGAAACCGGTTGGTAAGACACCGGTCGTTAATTTCCTCTCCCATCTTGATTCGAGAGCATATGAGGCGTCGTACTGGATGCATCTTAAGCCCAACTATCCGCTCATTCTTGGTCAAAAGTTGGTAGACCGACATCTAAATAGTTTCGCGTGAAATTAGAAACTGAGGACGGCAGTAATCCGACGTAATGATAGCTGTTTAAGAAACATTGTTAGTTTCATCTTGCGAGACACTCATCCCGAGTGAGGAGTTAATGTTGTGGTCGCCCAAATTTCAAGCTTTATTTTTTGCATGTGCTCAGTTCAGTAGTCACGATGACGAAGCAACTGGCTCTCATCGCATTTCAGTTAGGCATTATCAGCCAAATTGTTTTTGCTCCTTATTGTACACCGTTTGACCACTGAAATATCGTGCATTGACTCTGCATGAACTCCTATTTTCCATAGACTGAACGTACTCACTTACAAGACAAAGTGAACCGCCTGCAAGGGGAGTTACTCGCCCGCTCGGATGCGTTGAAGCGAGCAGCTGAGGAGATGGATCGCAATCGACAGGATCACAAAGCGAAAGAGACCAAACTAACTAACGAGTGGATCGAATTAACGCGTCAGATCGAAGCTAAATGGAAGGATGAGTGTGCGAAAGTGCAGCAATTGCGCGGGCAGTTGGAGGAGCAGCGAAACTGTCAACTATCACTGATGAAAAACAATGATGAGGTGAGTGGGGATTCACCATCTTCTAAACTGTTTTTTTCTCGTTTTCTTGAGAATACGCAAAATGGTTCCTGTAACAGAGGCAGCTCAGTACACAAGCTAATATTATGATCCTACATGAGTAATGGAGTAGAGGTTTATGACGGATAAGAAGCAAAGGGCTTGCCAGCTCCCGTAGTGTGGTTAGGATGAAAAGTACAAGGTAAAACTAGTGTCGGGAGAAGAACGCGTAAGTTAAATGACTCACCAAGAGCTTTAGAGTAGCACAGGTGTGAGTGTTTCTGTCTGGAGTCTAGAAGGATAATTAAGCCGACCACTGTTTGTTCAGCTCTAATGCCTTCACCTGATGGTCATGAGCTATGTCATGTAGTGCAAAGGTTTCAGGATATCGTCAAGGCGTCTTTTGAAAAGGGGTAAGGTGGGAGCATTAATTACATGCACCGTGAAGGGTTTCCATAGCTGTAACACTCGGAGGGAGAAAAGCTTTCGTCCACAGTCCAGTCGGTCGTACTGCTTGGCCAAAGTGAACTGATGATCCATCAAAGACGTGTTTTGGTTGAGTTTCAACAGATGACAACATATGTGCTTGGCGTTCTTAAGGATCTGATACACCATTGCGAGGTCACACCTTAGGCGCCTATAACGTCCGCTGTACACTTTAGAGTTTTCAGTCTGAGTGTGTAGGGAAAGTGGAACAAATCTATGAGGTTCTTCGTCGCCCTGCATTGTGCAGCCTTGAGTACGGTGAGACGCTGCGACTGCCAGGTTTGCCACACTTGGATGGCGCAGCACGCGTGCAACCTCACGTACGTAGCAAACATTTGCGGAAAGGTAAAACATTTGGTCCCCTTCAGCCACTTGATCAAAGCAGAAAGAAGGCACAGATTGCGATATGTTAACATTTCGATTGTTCTCGTCAGTCGCATACACAATACAAGCAGAAACACATACACAATTATATACATGGCAAAAAATTGGCAAACCAAGCAAAACGTAGAATCGAGTCCAAGGCAATCGGATTGATTGCCTCAAGAGTTTCTGTGCACATAGCACTGGTTGATAAGCCCTGATTAGCAAAGCTTCACTGATTGCGAACATTATCGGATTCTGGTTACGTAATAGCACTTTGAACGCAGTCTTGGGGTCCACATTGTGACCAGTTGTCACGAGGTGCTTAGTGATAGATGATGAAGAATCCGGTTCATTCTGGGGGGCGCCCCATTTTGTTGCGTCATCATTTGCTCTACCCACTTTGGCAAGTGTTCAGCCACCTTCTGAGCCAACCGACAGTTAGTCCTGCCTATGTAAACGTCACTGCAACTGCAGGTGCACTGATAGACCACATGTGAGAGCGAACTAGCCGAAGAGTAGCTCTGACGGTCATGAAGAACAAGTTTTCGAGTCGTGTGCATGAGACGCAACTGTACAGTCGTGTACGTGCGCGTTAGAGCGGACCTGAGCTTGTGTCCGATATCGTTTGCCACCTGGTCTCCCTTGAAGGGCAGGAACAGATAAACAGCTTTTTTCTCTGCCGTTAACACCGGCAGTTTATTTTTGGGGAGTCTGCTGTGCACTTGGATGAACTTTTTGGGATAACCATTTGCCACCAAGGTCCTATGCAGAAACTTCTCTTCGGCCTCCAGTGTACGTACACGAGTGCACAGTTGCGTCTCATGCACACGACTCGAAAACTTGCTCTTCATGACCGTCAGAGCTACTCTTCGGCTAGTTCGCTCTCACATGTGGTCTATCAGTGCACCTGCAGTTGCAGTGACGTTTACATAGGCAGGACTAACTGTCGGTTGGCTCAGAGGGTCGCTGAACACTTGCCAAAGTGGGTAGAGCAAATGATGACGCAACAAAATGGAGCGCCCCCCAGAATGAACCGGATTCTTCATCATCTATCACTAAGCACCTCGTGACAACTGGTCACAATGTGGACCCCAAGACTGCGTTCAAAGTGCTATTACGTAACCGGAATCCGATAATGTTCGCAATCAGTGAAGCTTTGCTAATCAGGGCTTATCAACCAGTGCTATGTGCACAGAAACTCTTGAGGCAATCAATCCGATTGCCTTGGACTCGATTCTACGTTTTGCTTGGTTTGCCAATTTTTTGCCATGTATATAATTGTGTATGTGTTTCTGCTTGTATTGTGTATGCGACTGACGAGAACAATCGAAATGTTAACATATCGCAATCTGTGTCTTCTTTCTGCTTTGATCAAACTTGCGGAAAGATCGAAGCATCGGAATTTCTGAACGCCGTACGCATGAGGCCGAGTAAGATAGGAATTCGGTTATGTTCGCGCTGGTAATAGGTTGTGGGATACGCGGTTTCTACAGACATGGCTATTTTGTAATCTGAAAAGCACCGTAACAAGACCAAAGCTGATACATGCATGCATTCCGTATTGCCTCCTCAGTACCATTAACAATAACTGGTATGCAACCATATACTTAAATATGGGTGCGACTGTATAAACATGAGGTGCAAAATGAATGACGGAAATCCACGGCAGTCTTAAGCTGATAAATAATTGCTTTGAACTAACAGGACCGGCTTCATCCGGCTTATCGCAACTGCCTCGGCGAAACGGGGGAAGCGGGGATTAGGTTTAAGTAATACAAGTGTGAACGCTGATCCAAGCTCTATCCGGTGACACGTAGGAAGTAGGTGTTTACCTATTAAGAAAGCTGGCGGCTTGCTCAAGCACCGAGCTTCGGTGGGAGAGGGATGCTGGTCAATTTCATGTTGAACCCACCTTGGCACGTGTTCCTTTATTCGGAAACTCAAAGACTGATTGGTTCTGCCTATGTAACTGTCTCCGATGCCTCCAACGAAGGAAGCTCAACCGATAGGGGCCAACTCATACTGCATATACAAATTCGTGTGCGACTGCGGAGACAGTTACATAGGCAGAACTAATCGGTCATTGACTTCCCGAATAAAGGAACACGTCTCAACACGTGTCACTATATTTAAGTATATAATTGCATACCTGTTATACTTAATGATGCTGAGAGGAGAATACTAAATTTATGCATCTTTCGTCTTTTACCGTGCTATTCAAATTTCTGAGGGGAACTAACTGGTTAAATATTTTGTAACCGTTGTTCCCTTTGACCTTAGGTTTTCCGGTCCGTCCTGAAAGAGCTTATCGCCATAATCTCATGTGAAGTATGGTTATTGTTAACTTCTGGTCACGAAAGCTTTCAAGCTTAGTGCGGAATGTTCTCTCTTTTATATTGTGCCTGACATTTGTTGGTAGACTATTCCATTGGACGCATGTTCTGATGAGGCGGTACTTAGGTCGAATAGCTGTTCTGGGCCTGAGTACGGGTAGTGCTGCAAGGTTCGAGTGAAAGTATGTTGCGATTCTTATGTAGATGGATGGGAATAGGGCCTCCGATGTAGCAAACTTTGTAGTAACTTCAAGCCCTGTTTCATACTTGTTAGTGAAACGTCTTCTGCCATCCACCATTAAATGCAGCAAGGAAGGCGCTCGGGAGTGGTTTGTTGAACTCCAATGTCGTATGAATTAATTGAACTGTCAGAACAGTATTAGTCCTAATGGATTAGGGTTAGTGAAGTCGTCAGGGAGGAATAACTTTTGCCAGGGACACCACTATTGGTGGGGCACGTACATGGCGCGTCGCATTTGGTTTTGCTTAGATCTGACACAAGCGAAACAATCGTGCCTGGAACATACACCAGCTGGTGCATAGTGAAGTAGGAGGTGACGGTGGATTTAAGTAATTGGTGCTTCTGATGAGTGACAATACTCATTCACTTTCATATTTATGGTCGCGCGATACACGTAACGATTCCATACTTGGTTGCATGGGGTGTGGCTGTTCGCAGAGCAGGTAAACATTGTCACAAATATGGAAGCGATAGAACAGCGATACAGTTGCTAATAGGAGGAGGAACTCAGGAAAACAGAATTATCTTCTTGATCATCAGTGATGTCCACATACCGATTTCTTTGGTCCTGTGGATGTATAGCAGTTCATCATTGTTGTGCGTTCTTTCAGCACATGGCCTGAGGTGTCCCGTATGGAGCATGCAACAAGTGGTGCAACCAACAAAGTCTTGAGTGTTTTTCTATCCGGCAGGGAATACCGGAGATTCTGGTCACGCACACATGGTCCCTTGTAAAATAAAACATGTTTTCTGAACAACTCAATCTTCAGTTCTTGTGCACGTTTCCAAAAATACAAGCAACTCTCACTGCCTTATGTGAGTTACACTCTACGGACATTTCGTCACTCTGAGTCGCGTTTAACGACTGTACAGTACCACTGATTAAAGCTACTGTTACACTGTTCAGCTCAAAGTTGAGGGTATTGAACACCTGCTCAACCCATCATGTCGAATCAAACTTCCTCGTCTATTTAGACCAAAGAGATCAAGTGTTGGCGAGTCACGGCGCAACAGGATATACTACTGTTGCTGCTAGTTGTGTAATCATATGATCTTTAGTCCGAAATACATGTTGTGTTGGCTGGTAGTTTTACAGCTTGTCATAGTGCTACCTCAGCAAGTATCAGATGGAGCTGATGTAGCGAACAAATGACCTCACAGTGGTATCACAATTCATGTCTGGCTTCTATAGCGGACGTGAGAAGTATATCGAATCCTGGATTAAATAGCCGGTATCATGGTGACCGATAGTAATTTCGCCAGGCGAGTATCGATCAATGGAAGAAGAAAAGCAGCTTTAGCACCGAGCAAGGGCGCACACCGTTCTTGTAACATAACCTACCAGAAGCAAATAACGCTGCCACTGAAGATTGTGTTAGAACTACAATCTCACTAAAGTCATCGGGATTAAGTTTAAATAGGTATACTCAGAGGGCAACAGTTACATCGAATACCCGATGGAAAACGTTACAACGGAAAGACAGTGACTGTGGACTTGAGCAGGCTACGGCGCACAATTCGCATTATGTTCATCGATGGCAGTCAGTGGGTGCGGCGATGGAAGCCAACTCACTTCCTCACATATGGTGTATCGGGAGAAATACAAATTTAGTTCTCAGTTTGTTTATTTAAGTGACGGGGTGGTAAATGGGCGGTAGCAAAGATGCGCAAAGCGCATGGAACAAAAGATGTTCGCAGTGATGCATCACCTTATCGATTGAGAGTTGCGAACGGGTCTTCTTGCTTTACGAAAAGACCGATAGATAGGAACTGTAGTGTACGATATTTTCGTGAGCTAAACTAGTGACCACTTGCGTCCCACTTCTTTCGTTCAACACGCATAGCCTATCACTGAGGATCATTTGCTGTCATCTTCCTATTCGCAAGAATAACCAGAGTTTCGGCTATCCAACTGATAGAATGTTCTGTTTGCAAAGCTCAGTAAGAAGAAAACTAGCAAAGACACACATTTGATATTGCCTCATTAGTGGAGGATTTCGGTGTGGCTATCGCCCATCCCTGCACGCCACGACCGACGGTCTCGTCCTGGTTTGGACTCATCCGGTACAGATAGCCGGCTTGCGAGTGGAAGTCGGCGCATATTGCTTAGCAGCTATCGCCATGTTCACTACACCACTGAAATCCATGAGCAGTGCTTGACACGGCAGTCAGAAAATGAGTTTCAGGTTTTGGAGCACACGCTGTGTGTTTTGGATTGCGACACGCAATCTCAATTGTGGCGTCCGTTGACTTTGATGTAAGCCTCTGCCAATACGGTCACTAGGATGGCCAGCGGCTATTTCTATCTCATGAGTCAAAATCAGGACGAAACCGTCGGGTGTGGAGTGCAGGGATGGGAGAGATCCAAACCGAAACCTACCACTTCGGTGACAGCCCCAGTGATCGCATTGGCAGAGGCTGACTTCCAAGTCAACAGGGGCCACCATTGAGATTACGTGTCGCAATTCAAGACACACCGTAACTGCTCTAAGAGCCGAATCAATGTCTCATCAGTGCCTTTAACAATAACTCGTAATGGTATTTATTCAAGGCACGCTGCGAACAAAAATACATGCACGCAAACATACCAAGGAGCAATATGAGAGACGGGGTTATTAACTCTATCCCCAGTGCAGTCTAAGGTTGACTGACACTTGTTTCTGAACACAAGGCATCGGTTTAATCCAAGTACTTGCAACTGCCACCGCGAAAAGGAGAAGGCAAGAGCTGGTGTGTCGTAATATTATGAACGCCGAAGTGACCTCGACTCTGTGACCTGTGGTCAATAACTGATGGCCGACCGAAGATGCTGGTGGCCTACGCGGACAAACAGCTTGAGCTTGGTTAGTTTCCTGCACATGCTGCTTAACTCGGGAACTCAGGGTCCTATTGGTTCTGCTTATGCAACTGGCTCCGCAGTCATATACGAATTGGCATGTGCAATGCGACTTGGTCCCGATAAGCTGAGTCTCCTTTACAGAAAAAATTGGCAGTTTTTAGGTTCGATTATTGGCAACCACCTTGGCGGCACAGTGAGTTGTCTGCATAGCACAGTTCAGCCGCCTTGCGGTTCTCAGCGAAGTAAAGTCACCTGTGAATGGCAGTTCAATGACTACAGGCATCTTGGTTACCGTGTGCACTAGGTCCTTTGGTCTTACTTGACTATACTTCTCGATTAACCTTCAGGGCTAGCCGTTTTCAATAAGCTTCTTTGTAATCAATTGCATTTTCTCATTCAGGTAATCAGCGGAGCAAATTTGTCTGGCAGGACTAAGCAGAGTTCTCACGAGCTCCTTGTATCGCATTGATGTGAAGCTAGTGTAACGCAGAGAATGGACGGACCATGTTACTTTCCTGTAGACGGACCTCTTGATCTGCCCGTTTTCTCTGCGGTTGATAAGAACATCCAAGTACGGGAGGCAATTTTGCTTCTCTACCTCACAGGAGACCCGTAACTTGGTATGCGCAGAATTTAGTTGCCTTAACAACTGCTCCATCTGATGATCCGATGAAAGATTGCCAGAATATCACCCACGTAGCGTTTGTAACATGGCACTTGAGATATTTCTTCAGACAGCCTGTTCTTACACTAGTTGGTGATTCCGCAGCGAAGAAACATCTGCTTGGTGTCTGGCTGACTCAAACTGTGCTGGGTGTCATTTGACTCAAAGTGAGACTGTGCATAGGATAGAAGACCATATGATGTTGGAATAAGTAACTTGATCACAGAAAAGGAATTCAGTTCGCCACTATGTTATTCCCCGCCAGTCTATTTCCGAACAGGCTGGCTTTCCAAACAGCGCAAACAGAAGAGCGTGCTCTGTTCATTATCACTTAAATGGCACGACATATGATTAGAAAAAGAAGTAGACTCCATCTCACACATGGTTCATTCTTGAAGCGAACACTGCTAATGAGATGCTTATTATCGTGACGGCTTTGCTTCCTGACTAAGCTTTTCGTTACTTTTAAAGCTGAATAAAGAAATAGCGCGCTTGCATTCCACCTTAGAGGACCAATGTGAAAAGAAAGTGACATCCGTCTTTCTCAGTGCGGTTGACGGAACGAACCACACACAGCTGGATCGACAACTACTGGAGACAAAAAGCCTATTCGAAATAGAAAAACAGGAAGATCAGTAAGTCCCGAATTGAAATAACCAGTTTCCATCATTTTCGTAGTGATGTAAATCTGAACTAATTAATGAGCCCAAATTTACGCGTTGGTCGAACTACTCACGACCGTTTTATCTGTTCAGAATCATAGCTTCCGGGACTGTGTACGGTAACGTTCCAACTATATGCCACCTAAACAACATATAAAAAATGCTTTTAATATCCATCTAGGCTAAAGCATTTAACTGCTTTCATGTATGTAGACAATAATTTATTGCATTAGTTCTTTACCGCATTAATAAGATACCCTAATTTTGTTTTACTGGACGAGTTATCGGGTTTCGAGCATAACGGATAAATTTCTACTTTCCCCGTAACTGATAGCCGTTGGTTATTGGGACGCAGCATATATGGTTAGTTAGTTATACGCAGCCTTTGTTAACTGGCTTTTGACGTTAGCTACATCCCACTGGTTACGTTGGTCCTCGCTGTTGCATCCCGGATAGACTGCACGGTAGCGTCTGATTAGTCGTGCGCCAACTTGGTTGATGACCCCACGATTGGATATTTGCCACAGATGAGCTTGTTGTTAACGTGGACTCATGCGCACGTCACTCGCTTAACCTAGGACCGACTAATTAGCCATTCCGCTGTAAGAAAGCATGCTGTATCTCCATTGCGCTTGGCCGGATGCGTTCCTCGTGAACAGTTCTCATGAGTATTGTCTGAATGACCATTCGTTTCTCCTTTATCCTGGGCCGGATAAGTTGTGAATGTTCGACTTTCGTCTGATTGGCCTCCGGTCCATAGGTATCGCATCGACTGCATTCGCCCCCGGTCTCAGCCACCAGCACACCGGCCACTCCCATTCGTTTTGAGGGAACCCAGAACGCGGTCAAACTCACCTGTTGGGCTTTATACTCCACGCCGACGTCAAGGAGTTTACATTCGTCGTGAATCCGACACTAAAGTACTTCTGTACCGCCGTCACCACTTGCTTCTATAGTGTGCGCCTTGAAGTCTGATCTCCAATAGAGAGTTACGTCGTCCCCAGTCATTGCCCCATAGCGTTGAGTCCTGGAATGTTGATATCCTGGGATATGAATTTCGCCGTCGGGTGTATCCGGAGATAGTCAGGTCTTTGTGATGGCTAACAGGTCTCGATGTAACTCCCAGGTAAAGAAGAAGATCTCATCCGCTTTGTATCTCACGCTGCAAAACGTTGGCACACATCACCCGCAGTCCAGATAATGACCTTGATCTGTATTCATTTCCCCTTTCCATCCCTAGGCAGACAAAGCTTATCCTCGAAGACAATCTGCATCAGAAAACAGAAGATTTGAAGCACTTTCCGCCAGAAGTGACGTAGGTTATGTGCTTTACTAAAACTTGGACATTAGTGCACGTAAAGGGATTGACAGGTCCATTCAAACAATCGTTTCAACACATGAACGTCCAGAAGAATCCTTGATGGGAACCAAGCGATCGAAGAGGCAGTTACGATTCACAGATTCTGTTGCAGAGTTGGGCCAACTCGGGTAAGTTCAAAGTCAAATTATGTGTACGTCTGAAACTCAGCAGTATGTAACGTTCACACTAGAGCTGGGATTTGTTGGAAGGGTTGTTTAGTTATTTGATAATTTTCAGTATGCTTCCACTTAACTTTAAAAGACGGCTTGTATGCACCCATGTTGGTACGCCAGATACCTGATTGATACCAACAGTGCCGCTTGCGTAGAAGTTGGCTTTCTGTTGCGCTATGGCACACCATGGCCCACAGACATAGGCAGCATGTTCCAAAGACAGTCTTGCTGACCATAAAGCCTCCAGTAACCTACTCTGCACCCTCCACCACATAGCACGTCTGATGGTATTTGGATCATCTTGTGAACATATGCAGAGCAGACTATGGCTCGACAGGATCCCGTCAACGCTAGCGACCAAAAGCTACTAGTCCTGCCTCAGGCAGTACCAGAAGCACGAGTCTGCATAGTACGGTAGTATTCCCAACCATTAGTCCTGTATGTCAGAGAGAATTAATCTGTTACTAGCTATTTCACAGTGAGGCGTCCATCTACAACTGCGCTTAAACTGAATCAATATGTTTACATTAACACATTGCTGGTTCAGTAAGTGCCACATTGATCAGACCACATAATTAGACTGCACCTCGCATCGTCGAGAAATATACGATTTACTTATTTATATTCCACGCGAGGAGCACGGTTCCCCTATTTGGAGGAAACATCAAACATTGTCGCAAGTGATAGCTGAGCGCATTTTTAACCCTGGGGAATCCTAACGGCTTGTGACGATGGAATAATGAAGCAATGATATACAGCGGATTAAAAAGCTAACGTTTCACAGGTCCCTTAGGATGGTGAGGATGAAAATAGGGATAACACAGAACAATGTGTCGGTAAAGTTGGGCTCGCCGAGATGTTAAAACCACAACAATTATAAGTCCATCTGGTTAGAATTAGGGAACACGCTGGTTGTGTCGTGTAGCATCCTGGCTGACAAGTTACAAACAGGAAATTTAGACAGTACATCGCTTCTTCAAATGTTTTTTTAAATATTACTAGACTGAGAGCAGAAGCAACAAGCTGGGCGAACCTTCCGCGGCTGACACACTCGAAAGGTGAGAAGTTGAGAGTTATTTCAGTCGGTTCCCTCAAGCTGGTGTAGTGGTTCGGTTACATCAGTAGGTGGCAAACGTCGTTTGGATTCCGCAGCATCTGGGAAACCCTCATGAGATCCCCGCAAGCGCCGGTATCGACGGCTGTACATTCCTAGGGACTTCCATTAAAGCTCTAAAGCAGATAGAAAAGGTCCCTAACACTCTTAGATGCCATTCCTTGAGAATACAAGGGTGCAGCGAGAGACTGTTTCTGTCACTAATGCCACGCCTGGATGGCGCATTCTACATTCGGTCGCACACAGGCCTTAAGTGTTTCTGGGAGGACTGAAGAATCAAACAGAATGAGCGCGCGGGGTAGAAAAGCCACGTGTTGATTGCCGGTTTTCAGCACCCTCTTGGTTCCTTTCGAGCAGCCGAGCTCCAGTATCTAAAGGGTAAGCTTATGAGAAACTTTCTTCAAGCTGTATTCTTCAATTTTCTACACGCTCGCCGGCTTCTGATGTACATGAAGCACTTTGCACTTACCCGTGTTAAACTGGAGTGTTTTTCTTCAACAACTCATGAACGTTACCCAGGCCACCTTGGAGGAAACTATGATCGTCATTGTCATAAATTGTTCGCCATATCTTGATATCATTGGCCAAAAGCAGGGGACTAGAGGCGATAGCTCGTATGAAGGCGTTGATGAAAACCGGAAATAACCTCGGTCCCAGCACTTTACCCTGTGGAACACCGTACTCTGCACCAATCGGGTTGGAGTGATCCTGTTACACACATGTGAAGCCATCGTTGGTGAAATAAGTTATCAATTCACCCAACGAATGCATACTCGATTCAATAGCCTTGTAGCCCGAGAAGTAGAATGCGGTGATTCAGACAGCTGAAAGCCTTGGAAAAATTTAGGTAGATGAAGTCGATCATAGCCCCACCATCAACCGCTTCCATGTAACTAGCCCGTGAAATCAGTAGGTTGTGGTGAACGACTGGTGTTGACGGAAGTCATGCTGCACCGGTGCAGTGAGGTTACATTTCTGCTGATAGTCTAGTAAAGTCTCAGTAAAGATTGCTTCCATCGGTTTCGGGAGAAAAAGGGGCAGAGACCCTGGGCGATAGTTTACAAGGCCTGAACGGCTACCCTGCTTCCACATCTTAGCACCTTTGGAAGAACCGCGATATGGGCTCGACTAGCCCAGTAGCTATAACCTTGTCAGAAAGGTTCATTTACTAAGACGCTGTCAAAAGGCATGTGACGTTGCATGAGGTCACATGCAGCCAACGAATGGGTGCGCATTAGCCTCATGTACCCGTGGATGGAGATCAGACGAGGGAAGGCAAGTCGTACCGGCCCTTGGGAATATGACCATGGTGTGAGTTCAAATATACTCCAGAAGTCGATGAATGACACTCTAAAACAACGGAATGGTTTATCCAAAATATGTACCAACGTTTCAGAATCAAGAACGAATTAATTAAAAAAAGCAATTGGACGAACTGAGGTAATGGAACACCGTAGGCAACCTGCTCGTTGTTCACACTATGCCCATCACGCTGACGAGGATCACCCGTCACCCAAATTCCAAACACTATGGAGGAGCTAAACTACTTTGGGTTGTGATAAACTCGGTCGATGTGGTGGAAACCGTCTTGCTTTTGACTGATCGTGTCCAGAACGGATCCTGTTTGGTGCGAGTCTTTTCAGACGTTCCATAGGGTGAGCGAAAGAAAGCAGAGCTTAGGAGAGTACCGCGTGGACACCGTAGCTGAACAACCTTTTGTCTCGAACGTCCCACAGCTTCATGAACATGATGAATGCGAAGCAGTGGTGTTGTACACGTGAGACTTGGCTTATGGACGAGGTTGTAGCCGATAATCCCTCAAGGCTACCACAATCAGCAAGTCATAAAGGATGCGGTCTTAGTTTAATGAAACTAGTGTTTCAAACTAGGCAGATGGCACTTAAGCTACTGGAACGCTGCCAGTCACTTCGGAACAGAGCGCCAACCGAACGGCCGTGCAAAGCGGTAAACGACACTGTTGCCTGACTTAAAACGCCAGCTCAGCAAGATGATGAAAAGAAGACCTCGTTCGAACTGCACACTGGTAGGTCTGAAGAAAGCGAGGAATTTCTACATAATCCTTTATCTGTACCACATGCACTGTGCAACATGACTTGCCAGAGAGGCTAAGTACGATTCCACCGAACTCAAAGTCAAGCCACTCACCCATAATACCGCCGAAAAATGACTAGCTGATGACAATACGAAGGTCAGTACAATCTCTTATCCGAATCACATGTCTTTTGCATAGCTGTTGTGAACTGAATATCCTACCTACATGTACCTACATACTTGATCCTGAGAGACCCACATCATGTGTGCCGCCCTTTACTGCAACTCAGCAGCAATACAAACCTGAGGGGCCACTCATTAAAACTCGCAGAACAATACAGTCGTCTGGAGTGCCGCAGAAATTTCTTTTCCATCCGTGTCTGTCACCCGTGGAATGCTCTCCCAGAATCGGTCGTCTCTGCACCGACACTAACAATATTTAAAAGACGGCTGGACGATGCACTCATCCACTTACACTTTGTTACTTAACACTATGTCTCCATCCTACACCTGGAGTTTACCCTGGAATTATTTGTTGTTAACTGTGGGTGTTGTGAATCTAAGTGGATCGCAGGACTGCAGCGAAGCAAACGATAAGTCCTTATTTTCGTATTTAAAGTGTTAACTATTTTACTATCCTTTTCATCATAATTATTATGTTGATATCCCCTGCAACTATCCAACGGGGCTTGTAAAGCAACGCTTCTTAACCCGTATAAATTCATTGTTCATTGTTCATCTGTGCCTAAAGCCTCTTCAACAAAATTGACGAGCTTGTTGTGTAATGTAACCAACGCTTGGTATCTCATTTTCATAACCGAGACCTGCTTGTGCTCGACGGTTACAGACGCTGACATCGCGAACCAGGAAATATCTCTGTTCCGAAACGGTGGTCCAGACAACGAATGTGGTGTAATCCTAAACTATCGCAACGACTTACGATGTGATGTTAGGTGGGCTGTTATTGGACACGCATTGTTGGAAAACATTCTTAGTTACCGATTTGTTTCATTCTGTTAGCGTTGTTACTGACATTTGGTTGAATACATCATTCCGCTAATTTCATCGGCTGCATGTGGCCACTGTTTCTGCCCTCGGATTGCAGTTGCAATTGGCCACTAACTCTCTCTCTTTTCGTTCGTTGTGTGCACCTTATTGACCCCATTATTGATCAGTGTTCATTAGCTTCATTCCGCTTTCAAGTTTTTGACAAGATGGTTGACTTGAATGTCTTTTAGTAGTTTTCCTTCAGCCCATTATCAAAACTATGTAAGCATGCATGATTAAATGAATAAAATTTCTTCGAGACATCTTTGGAGTTCTTCATGTGGTCGTGGGGCGAAGGTATTCTCTGGCGACGCAACATTTTCTGGCGACGGAGTTTCTGGCGATGTGTCGATCACGTTCGAGCAGATGCAAATCCTTCTACAACAGCAGCAGTTGCAATTCGATCAATCTCAGTAGCAGTTGATTGAGTTGCTTTCACAAAAGTTGAACCTTCAGACAGAATTCATGACGACAGTTGAACGGCCATCCTTGGACGCTCTTGCAGCTTCATCACAGAATTTATCTTCGATGGATTGAGCGGAGTGACCTTCGAAGCATGGTTTCAAAAGTATGAAGATATTTTTTGATTTCCAGTTGCGGACCAAGACGATGCCTGGTATTTTCGGTTGTTGCTGAGAAAACTTGGTGCAGTTGAGCATGAACGACACACGAATTTCGTGCTGCCGAAAAATGCAGATTCCAGCTTTGATAAGTAAGTGAAAACGCTGACAGATTTTCGGTG